GTTTCAAAAAGCGCAGCCGCTGTTTTGCAAAAGCGGCTCTGGGATTTTTCTAAAAGGAGTCCGGAAAATTTCAAACAGAGGGTGGAACGCGCCCGCGGCGCAAGACATCTGAAGAATTCCGAAATCCAGAACTTTGCACAATGGAGTCTGGAATTTATCAAAATCGATTCCGGCATTTTTCAAAGTCGGTTCCAGGATTCCAAAAGCAGGCCGGACATTTGCCTAAACGTGCTCGGATTTTGTCAAGTCTGCTCTCGGAGAATTTTCCAGAGTCGCGCGTGATTTGCCTGACCAGCTCTCTGGAAACCCGCCGAGGCGCGCACTGCGCGGCGGCGGGCGGCGGGGCGGGGCGCCAGCGTCCCCCCCCCGCGCTCGGCAACGAGAGGGGGGGATCGGCAAATGCCAACGAGACCCCTACGGGCGACTACTCGATTGCGGAGGGGTGACCGACCAGCGGCGCCAGGCAGAGTAGACAATATTCGACGCAAAGTGCACCCCGCGCAAAGGCTGTCAGAAATCCCGGAACCCCCGGAACGCATCAACAACAAATTGTGCCAATAGATTGTTCTCGTCCTAATAGAGAGACGCTGCCATGAATATTCAATACGTAGTTGGCATTCTACAAACAAGAAGTTGTTAAAACAGAGGCTGGAGCGCAGAAAACTTGTCCCTCTTCGCCCCCTTCCCCTTCCCAGCCCCCTTCTCCAATGCCCATTCCACTCCCCATTCTTCTGCATTTTTTGTATTTCAGCACCAGCACCCGGCCCTTCCTTCGTGCCCGCTCCCTCCTCCCGCATCGCAGCTCCTCGTCGAGGGCGCCAGGGGAGAGCAGGAGAGGGGCCCCAGGAGGGAAGGGGGGACGGCATGGAGTGTAGGAGGAAGGAGGGCGGCAAGAGGAGGAGGAGGAGGAGCAGGAGCAGGGGAGGGGGAGGGGGAGGGGAGAGGGAGACGGCGGAGGAGAGAGAGAGAGAGCTGTGCCCTTGGAGAGCCCTACGTCCGCTTTATTGCTGAGGCCGCCCTCCGCGTCGCGAAGCGAGCCGCGAGCTGGCATTCCCTCGAGCTTGCCACCCCCGCCTCACGAGTTCGCGGCGGCAGCTGCTGCACTCCCCGCCTGCAGCGCAGGAGCGCCAGGAGCCAGATCGAGCCCAGGGGCCAGCCAGCTTCAGAACGAAGGCTCGACAGTCTTTCGTCGCTCGGCTCGGATGCCGTCCGTGTTTCGATGGGGGTCGCGTTTCCGAAAGGCCCTGTCTCCCTAAGGGCCGTCGGCAAGGTCCTGGAGCTTCGCCAAGGCCCCCTGGGACAGCTTGGAGGAGGGAGGGTGGAAGTGGCTCGCCCCTGGAGGCTTCTCGAGAAACTGGGCTGGAGCTCCCCAGGAGGCTTCTCAAGAAACTCGCCCCAGGAGGCTTCTCAAGAAACTCGCCCCCTGGGTGGAAGTGGCTCGCTGCAGGAGGCTTCTCAAGAAACTGGGCTGGAGCCTGGGGTTTCAGGCCAGGCCGACCTGGAGCTCCCAGGGTCTGGCGGTCCCCCTGGGGGCTTCCTGGCGCATCGCCGACACAGCACGACAAAGGGCGTCGACGACGATTCAAGACGACGAATGAAGACGAATGACGACGACGACCACGACGATGACGACGACCGATGACGACGACGACGACCGACGACCGACGACCCACGACGACCGACGACCGACAATCCGACAAACCGACGGCCGACGGCCGACGGCCGACGGCCGACGGCCGACGACCGACGGCCGACGACCGACGGCCGACGGCCGACGACCGACGGCCGACGCCGACGGCCGACGAAGGCCGACGAAGGCACGACGTCGACGCACGACAACGGCGACAGGGCGGCGCTCGAGGCCGGGCGTGCGGGCGGCGCGCGGGCGGCGCGCCGCGGCGCCGCGGCGAGCGAGCGGCTCCAGGCAGGCCAAGCCCGAGCCCGAAGCGCCCGCGGCGGAGCAGGGCGCCAAGGCGCACCCGCTCCGCGCCGGGGGGGGATAGGCACAGGGGCAACGTTCGGACAGGCATAGAACTACACTTTGGGCGAGTGGATTAGCTTCTTGCGCGGATCCCGAAATTCCAAGCTTACTTTTGCGACATCGTCTAACGTATGATTGCCACCCCTGGTCCCCGCAACAAGGTGCAGTTTTGCTGCGTGTAGTTGTAGATGTGTTCGAAACGATGGGGGGGATAAGCAACGATGAGGGGGATAGGCACAGGGGCAACGATGGGGGGAACGCGGGGGGATAGGACAGGGGCAGCGATGGGAGGGGGGGGGGGGGGGGGGCGACGATGGGGGGATGGGCACGGGGGGATGCAGGGGGGGGCCGCGTGCTGCCGGCCAGGCCTGTCAGGGGCAACGACGGGGGGGATAGGCACAGGGGGGGACGCATCGACACCCAGTCGCACATTGATCGCCGATGGAGGCCCGATGGCCCCAACCTGCCCAGCAACGTGCGGATTCACTGTCGGGGTCCTGTCGCCGATCCATCGGCGATGTATCGCCGATTCCAGGTCGATGCCTCCCCCCTTATGCCAGTCCCCCCCCTATCGTTGCCCCTCAGCCTGGAGGGTTGCGCATAGCTCCAGGCCTCCCAGATGGGGTCGGAGAGTCGCGCCGCATCGCCGATGCATCGTCGATGCGGCTCGATACGGAGCCCGATTTTCTCCGCGCCGACGGCGCCGATGCATCGCCGATGATCGGAAATACTGCGCGTTCCTCCGACTCCCATCTACTCCGACCCCAGCTTGGAGGCCTCTCATAGCATAGGCAGCCCGCAGAGGCAGTCCTGGTTGGCCCCAACAGGCCCAAATGCAGCCCGGGGCGGCCTCGACACTCCGCGTTGCTCCGCCTCTGGCGGCGCCCCTTGGCGCGCTCCAGGGCCAACCTAGGGGGGCGCGTTGAGGCCAGCTGGGGCAAAGTCTGAGGGGCCGCCCGTGCGCAGCTCCAGGCCTTGCAGAGGGGGGCGTGTGCCACGTGCGCGTGAAGTTGTACTTGTTGATTGAAGTTGGGCCTATGGGTCGGGCCATGGTACTGGCGCAGGGGCTGGGGATCCTGGGGTATTTCTCTTCACTGCATTCCAGCGTACGGCACCAGGACGATGGATTGCCTGACATCACGTCTCCCTTGAGAATCACACCCGCCCTTGTGGAAAATCCGGAGGGCCACCACAATCCAGTGTTCGAGCATATTTTCGCGACGTGTTCTCAGACATGGTCGAGAGTTGGGCAGCTTTGTGCAGAGTTTGGGCTCGGCGGCCGTCTGGAGGGAAGGGCAGCCGCTGGCTTCTCTGCCAGCGCGGCGCAGCGAGGCAGGCGCCGCGTCCAAGCTGCAGGCGCTCAGCGCCGCGGCGGTTTCGCGCCCAGTGCAAGCGAGGAGGGAGGCAGCAGCGGAAGGCAGAGGAGAGAGGGTGGAGGTACAGTCGGACCGAGGTACACGATCTAGGTCGGTTCGGGGAGGGTACCCTAGTGTTCTTCGTGTTTGCTGGATGTTCTCGTGCATCCTGGGGAGGGTACCCCTGGACGTTCTGTTTGTTTTGACCGACGGATCGTCTCATGTTCTTGAAGGGTGTTCTTCTGGCTTGGGTCCGACTGCAGGAAGGAGGCAACAGCCAGCAGACTACAGGTGCGGCCGGCAGCAGTCGCCATCGTGCCCTCGATGGCGGGCAGGGCGCAGGGGGCGAAGCCGCCAGAGACGGCAGGAATAAGCTACTAGTCCACACGCACGTTTTGGAAGCGGTTGTGTGTTCTTGCTTTCCCGACCAGGGGCCATTGGGACATTTGTCACAGGACACATCCCAGATTCTGGACACGAACGTCCGTGTCGGCATTCCGAAGGATTGATCTAGTCGGCCCCCTTACCTTGAGGAAGCCACGATGGAACCACACATGGTCATGAGCAAAAGATGTAATTATAGATATAGTCTTGCCTCTTTCCTGACTTGATCATTGCATGCGTCTTATCTTTCACGTTAGATATGGATGTGGTTGCCTCTTGAATTTTGACTTTCGCCTTGTCTTCGCCCTTGCCTGTGCTTTGCCTTTGCCATTGCCTTGCCTGCTTCACGAGATGATATATGTCAACGGGCACGCAGCTTAGCCATTCACAGTGATCTACTTTTAGTTGGTCCGTTAAGGGCTCTATTATTGCGTTTTGGGGATACACGCTGTGCATGTGCAGAAGAACGGCATATCCCCTGCTAGCCGGCTCGTGCTTCGGTCAGCACAGGAATGAGCGTCAACAGATGACCGAGTGATCAGTTGATTCTTGGCGTTCTTCCTGCTCGCACTTCGTTTTTCCCTCCCCCTGCACGGAGTCCTGAGGCAATTCGTTCTGCCATGCGACGATAGACCCAGCTGTTCGAGCTGCGCTGAAACAAAGTTGACAAGTGCCGCGGGCCAAGTCGCAATTAAGCGGCCCCGCTAGTGCGACCCGGCGGAAAGACCTCTACGGCACACAGACAAATATATCGACAGATGCGATCGGTTTGCGCAAATGGGTTTTGGATTAGCGCGATTACCTGGACCCCGCGAGTTCATTTGTGGCGCAGCGTTGGCCACGAGCGATAATCGGCCCCTCATCACATGAATGCATCCACGCCCGATGCCCAGCAGGATTGCCCGCTAATGGCAGGACGAGCTATGAGCTCGACATCTGTCACCCCCCCGGCACTCCCAGGCCAGACACGGCCATACCCGCAAGGGCGTGAGGTCCCGCTAGCATTCGCATTTAGTGTGTACACATTTTGTCGTAAATAAGCCAAGGTTTCTCGAGCTTTGAAATGGACGGCCATGCGGGTACTGCGCCCTATTCAAATCGTTACCTATTTTGACGTGTGGAAGTTGTCCGAAAGCCGCGGGGAGTAAGACAACAGTGAAGAGATTGGCGAGAAGAGGCAGAAACCGGCTGAGTTTGCCCAGGCATCGTACCAACACGCAACAGCACAACAGCGAATTCAGGAGAATTTCGCGTTCGCGTCGTCAAGTCCACCGCGTGTGTTTGTATATTTTCGCACTCAGGCGCACCAAGTGCTAGGATTGGTTTTGAGCTATTGCCCGGAGCAATGTTGTGCCTCCGGCCTGCTCGTTGCTGTTCGCCGCCTCGTCTTTGAGCTGATGCACGAGTCGCAGGATTTGTTATTTTCGGATGATATGTTGCGCCGGGCGTGTGGGGAGCGATGCATATCCGACAATTGCCATCATTCGGTTTCTCTTCTTGATTGCTGTCGAGATCGTTCCCTTTTACGCGGTCATTTTGTTATGCAAGTATTCATGTATTGCGTTGGGCAGCACCAGTTGCATTAGCTGAACGAGACTGCGGTATATCAGGGATTGCTAGTTGATAACGGCCTTGGAAGCCTTTCCAGCATCCGAACGCCTTGCATGACTGATTTCAGGCGCCCCATGCATTCGGTATCTGCTTGAGCACAACCATACTGGTCGCTGTGTCTGCTCGGGGAAGGCAGACGCAACCAAGATTGCAACGACCCATTCCGCAAATAGATTGCCGCATCGTGTTCTTAGATTTCTACGAAAGCGAATACAGGATTTGGGGTACGTGCATCTTTGTAAGCACATGAACTGCACAGCCACCTAAGGGCAGCTTGAGCCTGTAAACTTACGGTGGGCACCTGCACGCTGTCATTTCGTCGCAGTGAGGAGTCGTCATGCTCGCACTTAACAAGCATGGTCGAGAGGGAACAGGAGAGCAAAAGAGGATATGGAAGGGGAGGAGAGAGCACGAGAGGTGATGAGAGGGGAAGCAGGAGTCCGAGAGGAGGGGCGAGAGTGGGAGGGAAAGGGAATTACAGGAGGATGGTATGGATGAGCGCGCAGAAGCACAAATAAGTGTGACCGTGGCTTCAACAAAAGAGTGTGGTTCCTCGAATGCAGCAATCCATCGCCCAGCAAATTTACCATCTTCAATTCTGCAATCTGGCTGCATGCAGCAAGTACCGCCGCCGTGCCAGCCCAGCACCGTGAGGCCGTGACGTGTGAGGTTCCAGGTCCCGAGGCTTGCGAGAGCCGTAAAATGTGACACGTTATTCCGTGTCATGTCGGGGGTTATTTTCTCGTCTTAGTTGTCTTCCTTTGTTTCGTCCGTCTTTTCTTGGGTTCCTGTGGGGCAGTCTTACGGGTTCCCTAGGCCGCTTTGGGCCGTATTGGGGCTCTCTTGGGCCGCCTTGGAGCTCTCTTGGGTCGTCGAGGAGCCCTCGAACGTCGTCTTGGGTCCCTGTGGAGGCCCTGCTCGGCCAGCTTGGGGCTCTGTCCTGGGCCGCCGAGGGGCCCTTCTGAGCTGCCTTGAGGCCGTCTTGGAGGATTATGGGCCATTTGGAGGCCCTCTTGGGCCGTATTGGGGTCATCTTGGAGGCTTCTAAGTCTGTGTGGAGGCGAGGGAAGTCCGAAAAGGCGAAGCCGCCCAACAAAAAATGATAGCACCCTTGGGAGGTCAAGAATCGTGGCCTCTTCGGTCTCCCCTGGGGGTCGTCAGGTTACCCTCCTGGGGGCGTCTTGGGCCGTCTTGAGGCCATCTTGGAATGCATTCGGGCTACACCTTAGGCGATGCTTAAGAAAACTTCAGTTTTCGGCCAGAGTCTCGATTATTCTTAACGTTTCAATGTAAATCCTAAGATTTGAATAGACACGTTGGGTTTTTATTCAAGTTCCGAGAGTATGAATTTCTTAACCCATGATTTCTTAAGCATTTCGCAGGGTGTATATTGGGCCGTGTTGGAAGCATGTTTGGCCATCTTGGCGGCCTCGGTGGGCTGCTTGGGCCGTCTTGCGAGCCACCTTGGGGATCTTGGAGAGCGCCAGGGAGGCGACGGGCCGCCCAGACAGAGAGCCTCGGGAGGGGGGCAGAGCGGGGGGAGAGAAGGCGAGGGGAAGGAGGGGGAGGAGCGCGGCGCACGCATCTGCTCATCCCACCTTATCCCTCCTCCTCCTCCTCCTCCTCCTCCTCCTCCTCCTCCTCCTCCTGCTGCTCCTGCTCCTGCTCCTCCTCCTCCTCCTCCTCCTCCTCCTCCTCCTCCTCCTCCTCCTCCTCCTCCTCCTCCTCCTCCTGCTCCTCCTCCTGCTCCTGCTCCTGCTCCTCTTCCTGCTCCTCCCCCCACCCGCCCTTCCGATCTGCAGGACGATGGCGCGGGCTTCCGAGACATCGCGCCCGAGCGCCGGCCAGAGCTGGCGCGGCCCGCGGGGCTGCAGCCCGAAGCGCTGGACGGCGCCCAGGCGGGCGCACCGCCCTGTCGTGGCTCCGCGTCGTCGTGCCCCTTCCTTGCTCCATGTCTTCGTGCTCCAGTGTGCTCCTCCTGCTCGCCCCACACTCGCCACACACCGGGTTCGGTGCCCGAGGCCGCCTGTTCATGCTGCTTGTTGCCCGCATCTGATCACACTGGTCCTCCCGCGGGTTTGGGCATCGATGGCCCTCCGCGTAGGTGTCGCAGCGGCCGTGGCTTTTGAGTGCGTTCGGCGTTCCGTGTTGCAGCTTGCCTTGCTGCAACGGTGCGAGCTCACTGGCGAGGGCGCGTGATGCTCGTTTTCGGCAGCTGACCTCCCGCAATGTGCGATGTGTTTGCGCGCGTTTTCTTCTTGGAGCAAGTACGTTCGTACACTGCCCGTCGCGGAGCCGGGAGTGGCTCTGAAGGATTCATGAGGTTATTGTGGTGCATGGTGTTTGCGTCCAGATGAACTGTCGAGGTCTTCTCGGAGGTGCATATTGATCCTTAGTGTAGGGCCTTTTCGGACAGTCTTGATGGTATGGCCATGCCTGGGGCGCTGTTGAAGTATCGGGGAGCCGATTTCAGGAAGACCTCGCACGAGAATGTGTTCTTATTCGGAAGCGGATTTCGCGGACTCGGCGTTTGAAGTGGATTCCCCGCTACTTGTCTCAGGAGGAAGGTTGGGCCTCGCTTCCTCGCGCGCCAGGGGTCAGAATGATGCGGGTTCACGATGGAGCCCGTTCGAAGGAGCTCGACATCAACACGCCTGCGCGCTTGAGTTTGCACCTTGCTGTTCGTTTCTGGCCGCCATGGCCGTGGCGAGTTCCCGGCCTCCCCGTCTGGCCTGCGACTCGGCCCGCGCCTGCAGGTTCACGGCATGGGCTTCGGTGGCCTCGCGCCCGAGCAGCACCAGGGGCCGCCACAGCCGCCGGAGCGGCAGCTGCACGGGCCTGGGGGCGCCAAGGCGGGCAGATCGGCTCCTCCTCCTCCTCCTCCTCCTCCTCCTCCTCCTCCTCCTCCGCCTCCTCCTCCTCCTCCTCATCATCATCATCATCCTCCTCTTCCTCCTCCTGCTGCCCCTCCTCCCCCTCCTCCCCCTCCTCTTCCTCCTCCTTCTCCTCCTCCTCCTCCTCTCCTCCTCCTCCTCCTCCTCCTCCTCCTCCTCCTCCTCCTCCTCCTCCTCCTCCTCCTCCTCCTCCTCCTCCTCCTCCTCCTCCTCCTCCTCCTCCTCCTCCTCCTAGTCTCCTGCGTCGTTGAAGGCTTTATCTTTCAGAAAGCCCTACCCCCTTCCGAGGGAGCCTGTTTTTGGCCCGAGGCCTGAGCCTCCCGACTGGACTCATGTTATCACTCGTGCCCAGGCTGCCTTAGATGCCGTCGCCGCTGGGGACGCAGCCGCCGCTTTCAGCCATTTGTCTCCAGGCTACGCGGCCTGGGCAGATGTAGCCGAGGCCGAGCTGGTGCAGATAACGGGGGCGAGTTGGCGGCCAAGGGCACCAGAAGCACCGGACCTCAGCTTATGTGGAAAAGTGTTGTGGGGAAGGACGGACAACCCAGGTATCCCGATCATCATGCCACCCTGTGGCTGGTAGCTCAGTTTCGTGCCTGCCTTTGTTTGCACTGCTCGGACCAAGGTTCAGGCTCTTTAGCTTCGAGGATAGGCGCCTTGCTCTGTGCCCCGCCTGCCTCTGTCAAACTTCATTATTCCATGTTCTCTGGCTCCTTCGAACGTGTGCACGACTTTGTTTCGGCGTTGGAAGGTAGGCAGATGTCTTCGGAGCTGATCGAGTCCGCTCAAGTTCTACTGGAATATATTTCAGGTGCTGCTGCCCAGGCGGATGCTACCTTCAAGACGCGTGCTCAGGCTGATTGGCGTACGTGGTTCACTAAGGGTATCGACCAGGGTGCTCGAGATGTCCATGTCATCGTGAAGGACCCCACTCCGTGGGTCCCCACTACCACCTTGTCCAGGGATGGGGTCATTGTGGCCGACCCCCTCAGCTTGCTGGCCAGTGAAGGGGATACATGTTCCACGTATTGGGGGTCAGGGGTCGGCAATCTGGACCCCCCATCTCTGGTTTCTTTTTTCTTTCGTGCTACGCCAGACGAGATCAGGGCGGTCAGTAAAAATAAAAAGAAGACCTCGGCCGTCACTTACGATGGATTTGGCTGCAGGCATTTCCAGTTCTTGTGTGATGAAGGTCTACTTGCTCTTGGCATGCTTTTTGAGTTAATGGAGTCGCTCGGCCAGCTGCCCAGACAGATCAGCGCCGTGCTTCTCGCCATGTTCACGAAACCTACTGGCGGCTACAGACAGATAGGGACGTTCTGCGCCTGGTACAGGGTGTGGGGCCGTCTCCGACGGCCTCATGCCCTGTCCTGGGAGCAGCAACACCCCCGTCGGCACTGGGCCGTTGGCGCGTTTCGCGGAGCCTCGGATGCGGTCTGGAGGCAGTCGGGTCGTGCCGAAGCTGGCACCTCCAGGTAGGATGTTCGCGCCAATGCTTTTTAAAAACGATATGCTAGAGTATTATGAAGCTATCCACTTGGGCACGCTCGCTGCGCTTTGTGTGCAAGTGGATCCCCTCAGGCGCTCACTCGGCTCACTCTTTTCGCTTATCGATGCGGCAGGTTTGCGTCGATAGTTCGGCTCTTGGATGGCCCATACTTCATGGAGAACGGAGTGTTAGCGGGGTGCAGTATGGCGACCACCAATATCAGAGTGTATGTTATGTCCTCCTTTGATACCATTCCCAATCTATCCCTCCCTTGAGTTCGACGTGTATATAGATGAGACGAGTACTTCATGCACCGGCTCTTCCAAACATGTCATGTCGTGTCTTGTGTCCTCCACTGCTACGCTCCATCATGCTATCACTGTCCCCAACATGATGAATTGCCAGCTTTCCTTGGATGAAATATGCACGGTTGCCTCGTGCAAAGCACTTGGCCGTGATCTTGCCTCTGCGCTTGGCCAGCTAGGAGGCAGGGCCACCGACACTACGGTTAACCTCGGAGTGGATTACACCGCAGGAGCTGCGGTGCGTGTTTCGGGGCGCCGCTCCAAGCTCAAAGCCCGAGTTGATTTGACCGGGCGGAAGGCTCGCCGTCTCAGACGGCAGTCGGGGAACTCGGGTCGCCGAGCCCTGAGAGCGCACGCGCGCGGCCCTCTCCCCAGCGGGACGCACGGCGCGGACATTCTTGGAGTCAGCGACCAAGATCTTCTGACGATCAGAAGACAAGCGCTCTCAACTGTCAGGCCTTTCTCGAAAGGGCGCTCTCTCACTGCTGTCAGCATTATGTCAGAAGACCCTTGCTGGCGCGCTGCGCGCGCACCGCTGCTGAGGTGGAGCAATGAGATATGGTTGGCCCGGACTCGCGTTCATCATTTCTCTATCCAGCACCCTGAGTTAAGATGCAGTTGGCAGTCTGTTTCTGCTCTCCCTTATTATACTTGGCCCACTCTTCGTGGCCCCTTCTCGGCGCTTCGGCTCGCGCATGTGCGCCTAGGCTGGGTCATGAACAATTACATTACGATTGCGGACGATCGCGGTTATACCTTCAGTTTAGGCCTGACTCCCCCCAGCCTCATGGAGACCCTTTGTAAGGGCGCCTACCCCAGGAGCCTCGAGAGGGACTATGGGGGGCCAACGGGACATGGATTGCAGGGTTCGCCTTGATGTCCCCAAAGCTGCATTAACAGTAGAAAATGCACTCCCGTACAGAGAGGGTGGATCAGGGCCTGCTCGTGCGATGCGATCTGGATTGCGGACAAAGCTTTTGCGCGCGGGTATCAGGCGCGAGCTCAGCTGGCCCCTGCCTCGGTAGTCTCGGACTCCGCGCTAGTCCGGGCAGCCGAGGCCGACAGCCACGCGGTCGCACTCTATACTCGCGGAGCTTTCGCTCACCCCGCCGACGCCCTGCCCCTGCCACGCCCAACCGTGGAGGGCGCCAACGCCTTGCTGCACGCTTGGCATGTCGATGAGCATCAGAGTCCCGAGGGCCCCGCGGCCCCCGCCGATAGGAGGGCGCGGGGCCACCTCTTCCGGGATGGGTCCTGCCAGCGCCACGTAGTTCGCGAGCTGCCCCGCGCTGCTTGGTGCATTTCTATGATTTCGGATGATGGGGTGCGCCCTGGAGAGGTTCGGGGGCCAGTCTGGGCCCACTTTCCGCAGACACCGCAGGCCGCATAATACTCGGCTTGCTGCGTTGTTGCCCAGTTCGCGTGCTTCCCCTCGGCCCTTTACAGCGATTGTGCCAACGCTGTGCACCACTCGTTATTGCCGCTGCCTGAGCGCTACTCAGGCAAGCGATCGTATCCTGGAATGGTTCGAAACGCCAACAAGTAGAAGGTGATATGATTGATTCCACTGTCAAGGTCAAGGCTCACCGCGACGTGGACGAGGAAGGCATTTCTGTTCGTGAAAGGTTCTTGCGTTTAGGCAATCGCGATACAGACGCTGGGGCCAAGCATGGCCCACAGCTTCACCCAACAGATGCCACCAGCAATCTAGAGGTAGATGCTCTGGTCACCGTAGCCCGTGCCTATTGCATCCTGGCTGCCAACTGATTGCCGCCTTCGCCTAAGTTGTCGCTCGATGTCCCCTACGCGCCTGCGCCCGCCGCCCCTAGCCAGGCAAAGATCACACACGCCTGGAAAAGGTGGCCAGGCATTTGGAGGCGCCCCCAGTGCTTCCGCGGCGAAAGGCCCCCGCAAGAGCCCCCTCCAGGTAGGCGCAGCAATAGGTCAAAAATACATGATAATGTTCTCCAAAGTTCCGGGCATAGAGTCATTGCACTGCATTGTTTCGACGGCTCGGCGTTATTCATCTGCGTTAGATGTAAATGTTACTCGACGGGCAGCAGGGCCATAGGCCTTGGAGAGCGTTGCGAAGACAGGCCGCCCAGACATGCTGGCACTGGATGGAACTACCTTTTGCCGCGGCTTACACCCCCACGAGAAACGTCGAGCTGTTCCAGTTTCTATTGACGATGTGTTTGAATTAGTTTAAGCTATTAGTTGTCTCGCCGCGAGTGGGTTCACGTGGCGGGTTCGGTCTTGGGGTTTGTGACGTGCTGTTCGACACTGCTGGTTACGCTGCCAGCCCTGGAACTCGGGCCCTGGAGTTCCGTCGAGCAGGCGTCGCTGGCCGCCTTTTTCACTGCCTAGTGCTGCCCTCGCCCCCCTGTTGCACGGCCGTGGGGTGATGTCTCCCTCGCGGCGACCGCAGCTCATGGGGTTGCCTTTGTTGTGCCCAGAGTGCGCGTCAGGGCACGGGGGAGGCAACTCTGTCCTCCCTGACCGTGCGCCCTGCGAGGTGCCTGTATTGTTTAGCTACTTTGCTTCTTGGCGTGAATTGGACTCACGTGGCAGGTTCGTTCTGGGGTTTTGTTGCGCCCTGCTCGGCGGCGCTGGTTACGCTGCCAGCCCTGGAACTCGGGCCTTGGAGTTCCGTCGCGCAGGCGTCGCTGGCCGTCCTTTTCACTGCCCAGTGCTGCCCTCGTCCCCTCGTAGCACGGCCGCGGGGTGATGTCTCCCTTGCGGTGACCGCTGCTCAGGGGCCGCGCCTGAGTGTCAAGAGAGCGCGTCAGGGCACGGGGGAGACAACTCTGTCCTCCCCGACCGGTCGCCCCGTGATGTGTTTGTAGGTTAGCCTCTATGGTTCTCGGCGTGAGTTGGGTTCACGCGGCAGGCTCGATCTGGGATTTTGCGGCGTCCTGCTCGGCGGCGCTGGTTACGCAGCCAGCCCTGGAACTCGGGCTTCGGAGTTTCGTCGTGCAGGCGCCGCTGGCCGTCCTTTTCATTGCCCAGTGCTGTCCTCGTTTCCCTGTCGCACGGCCGTGGGGTGATGTCTCCCCCGCAGTGACAGCTGCTCAGGGGGCCGCCACCTTTGTTGTCCAGAGTGCGCGTCAGGGCACGGGGGAGGCAACCTGTCCTCCCCGACCGTACGCCCTGCCGTGGCCTTC